TGGCTTCTCAATTTCTAATACTCTGGTTATAAAACCTCTTTCTTACTTTTTATTTTTTTATTCATCAAATACTCTGTTAGATACTTGCGTTGGAAATAGTCTTTGGCAGAAAAAGAAAATACATTAACAAAACAGAACCCAAAAAAATTAAGAACAATGTTCTTGATAACTTTCAACCAAAACTAGATTTAGCAACCCTCTTACATAGCTTCTTTCATGTGATCCAAAGAATTGCATTTATGTTATTTCCGCTATTCCACCAAAATTCAATCATTACAGCTTTTATGTTTTTGTCTCGGTCGATAAAAACAAATTCCAAAAAAAAAAATTAAAATAAGCATGCCAGATTTTTGTTTTCATCATGGCAAAGTGGCCAATTTAAACTTTTCTTTAAAACCTTTTACTAGAGGATTATCAAGTTCGAAGCTGGGTCTTAATGAGATAGTAGTAGAGGTGGAACACCACTAGCCAATTTTAGGTTATTTTTTATTAATCTATTACTAGAAAATTATCATATTCAAATTATGGCTTTGGTGACATTGCAGCAGAAGTGGAACAACACCACTGGCCAAATTTCCTAGTTCTAGGAAAACACTTAGTCAAAAATATGTATTGAACACCATTAATATCAGTTTTTTTTTTTTTTAAATGAAAACACTTCACATTTTTAAAATTTCCTAATAAAACTCCAAAGATCCCAATATCATTTGTAGTACGCTCTAGCCACTGAGAGGAAAAACAAAATGTGATCTCGTTGTTTCTCAGCCGATGGTCAGAAGCTCTTTTAGCTTCGTTGTCAGTCGGGTTAAGTCTCTTAGATTTCTTATACCTTGTCTTTTATCCTGTTCTGTTTCGGTGGTGGGTCAATACTCGAGTCTTGGTTGTGAGATCTTGAGATCTGGCTTGATGAGGTTACGGCTTCGGCTTCGGTTAGAATTCGAGGTGGCTTTGAATCAAGACTGAGATTTTGGTTGGTTTAAGTGGTTTAGATTTTGGGTCCGTATTTTCTCCACTTCTCTAGGCTCTGGTCTTTCACCGAAGCTTCACTCCTTTCGTCGAGTTCGATGGCTAGCGAGTGTATCGGTGGAGCGGCTACTCGGCTGGTGGTTCAGAGGTCCATACCCTTATGCGAGGTTTTGTTTCTCTAGCTCTCGGAGTAGGTGGTTATAGGTATTGCTCTTCTCTTGTTTAAGTTTTGATGGTTCAGGTAAGTCAGTTTATAGACCTTCTTGCTTTGTTGTTCCCTGTCTTGATCTTGTGGGAGTATCTCGTTGGCTAGAAGTCGTGTCTTTCTCTAGTTAGACTTCAAATTGATGATTTTCACTTTAACCGAATTGGTGTGATCCTTTTAGCATTTCCTCTCTAGTTGGTTGTTGGTTGGGCTTTTTACTCTTGATGCGGTCATCAAACCAGCAGGTGAACCAAAGCTCAATCAAACCGGTTGCACAATGCTAAACAGACCCGAAAAAGACATATGTTAACTGTTTGAAGCCTATCGACTCAACCACGATGATTTAATGCATGAAACTACTTGGAAAATATTCTCAGCTCAATTACAAATCTCCTCAAAGAAGAATCAGGTCAAAAGGAGTTCAAATGAAGGAGCTATCCAATTTACAAACCAGGGGATTTCCAGTTTACCCGATTTAGACATGCGAGCATTTATTGGAGGATTCCCGCCGAACCAGAAAGCGTTAATCTACAAATCAACTTGCTATGGAATTTTGGTTCAACAAAGAAGCTTGGCGAAATTGATTCATATAGAAATTCATTATGGGTTAAAAGTTATTCAACTTCTAAACCGGAAAATTTTTGGCTTACCTTATTTGGAAACTCACGGATTTAAATACTTACAAACAAGACTATCGACCAGGAAAGATATCTAATCATTCAGGAGACACATCTAACCATCCAGAAGAGTCATATAGCATCTTTCCATGCACCAGCAACCACATGATCAAGCGGATCCCCTTGTCTTCAAACTTACCATATCTAGAAGTATTCACACTTGGAGTAATAAAGGACAAGCGGCTAATTCGTCAAAGCTACGACGTTTTGGAGGCTTCCAATACTTACAATATAATCTCAAGATTCATCATATGGTGCACCATCCCACACTTGATCATACAGATTCAAAGGAGCTCAAACTTGCCTTTTTCGGAGTTAAATGCAATCAAACTCCAACGGCTCTTTCCATTTCTGTTTTTCTGCGTGTTAGAGACCCTCCAATTGAGAAAGAGACATCCCATGATGCACCACTTCCTTCCCAAGTTATCCAGATACAAGCTGCACCATAACTTTTCAGATTTGGCCGTATTTCACATTAAAACGCCAACAGCTCTATTTTCACTAATTGTATGATTTGTTTATCTTTTCTACTCTTTAGAACAGTTGTATTAGAGCCTATAAAAGCTCATTTTCATTTCATTGTAAATGCACATTTCAATCACGATTCAATAAAGTATTTGTTTTATTTTCAAAGTGTTTCTTTGCAAAGAGTGTTCTTTTCTTTAGATTTAAGTGTGCGATTCACTTAGCTCTATAGAAGCTTCGAGATTAGTTTGTTTGTGCGATTCAAACAATATATTTTTTTCCCAGATTGAGAGAGTCAATCAAACCACCACGTTCCATCTCAACATCAGCCCATTTTCCGCAACAAAGCTTGTAAACTCTTGATTATCTCTTGAACATAAGTTTGGTGGATTCCAATCTTATATCAACTCTCCCTGATCTTCCTTGGTGAGTTGATGAGGTCATCAAACCAATAGCTGAACAAGAGGTCCAACATGGTGAGATCTTAGACCGATTAGAAACCAGAATGGACATACAAGCCTTCCAAGGAGCTTACAAGATGAACCAGGCAGACTTAAGGGACAAACCAACTTGTTGCAGAAAATTAATTCACCAGAGGATCACTGGGAGCTGGATTCATCGCAATATGAATTCTTGTGACGAAGTAATGAGTTTTACAAATCGGGTAAACCACAACTTACCTGTTTTGGACCAACACGCATTCATTGGAGATTTACGACTAAATTAGAAGGGATTAAGCTATGAACCAACTTATTAAATATTCTTGAGCCATCAGAGACACACGACGAATTGGTTTGAGGCCAATAGTAGTTCCGAGTTGATCAGAATTATTTCTGCAAACCGGCGAATCCTAGACTTGTCTCATTTCAAACCTTCCAAGTTTGGAAGACTTGAATCTTATGTTTGGAGACCAGGTGAGTCTCTACTACAACTAGATTCTCCTAAGGACACTTCAGGATGCATTCCCAGCCATTGGATCATGGTCAAATTTCAATCATTTACGCATGAAGACTTGTTGCCATATATAGACCCAATAACACCCTCTCCACTCCAACGACTACATTCTGGAATTGTGAAGCTAACGAAGACTTCTAGAAGACTTCAAACTCACGGATTCATCAAGAGGATATAAAGATACAAGATTTATTCAAGGGAGGAGCATTTTTCACTACTTACCATATCAAGGCCACGTCTATCTTCTACTTTCAAGTTTTCCTTCTTTTTGCCTAGCCTTTAAATGGCTAACAGCCATACTCTTTAATTTTGCAAATCTTTGTCTCTTTTTCTTTTTACTTTTAGAACGTTAGTTTAGATTGTAGTCGAGCCTATAAAGCTCATCTCTTTTCTCATTGTAAAAATCACCTTTTCATCAAATTAATCAAACGTGTAGTTTTCTTCTTACAAAGAAAGTGTCTTTGTGTTCTTCATTTGAGTTCTAGAGTGGATTCACTAAACTCTTGTGAGTTTGCGGATTGAATAACTTGTGGATTCATGTTGTTTCTTCCGTGGTTGAGTGTGGATTTATTCAACAAACCTCCATCTCATCACTATCATCATCCATCTTCCGCGTGTCTAGCTTGTAAACTCTCGATCATCTTAATATAAGTTTGGTGGGTTCCGATCTTATATCATGAGTGTTCTTGGAGCTGTTGGTGTTGATGGTTGGCTCTTCCCTTGTGATGAAGATATTCTTGGGACAGTTTATTTCCCCGCCCAACATATTAGTTTCTGTATCTCCGATTTTTCCAAATAGTTCTTCAGCGGCGATGCGCATCAACAGCTTGCCCTCGATGATTTCGAGCGTGGTATTGGATTGAGTATCAGTAAAAAAACTTCGAAGTGTTTTGGTCTCTAATCATCTCTTCTAGTTGGTGTTATCTTCGTCTTGGATTTATATTGTGGTTGTCATCAGTGGTTGGATAAGCCCTTAGTCATAGTCCATGGTGGCTGCATTTTCAAGGGTTCTCAAGCTTTGTCGTTCCCGCTTTCTATGGTGTGAAGTTCTTGGTTTGAGTAAGCCTTCATTTTCTCCCGGATGCTTTAGAGTAAGTTTGCAGAGATAACTTGGCTATTTGGATTTTCTTCGCTTGGTTTTAGTAATTTGAAGCAGTATAATCTAGTCTTGTGTATTGACCTTTTGTTTGTTTGGGTTTGCGTTGGGTTACTTGATGTGGATTGTTAGGCTCTAGTGTTGTCTTTGAATACCTGGCTTTTGACTCCGGTGTCGTCATTTGACAGCTGGCGTTTGGCTCCCCGATGTCGTGTAATTTGACAGTCGGCATTAGGCTTAGACCATTTACAATGGAGTGACTGAAACTCCACAATAGGGTGACTGAATCTCAGCTAAAAAAAAAATTGATTGACGTGTACTAATTTGAGCTGAAAAAAATCAGCCAACTGAAAGAAAAAGTAAGGGGCCACAAAAGTTAAAGCATTCATTTTAATTGGACCAACCAAAGCGAATGGGCCCCACGCGGTTTGATTATCGAAATTTTTTTTTTTTTTTTAAGATATGATATGAAATGGCAACAATTTTTGTTAAAGAAATGAACTGGGTACAGATGTTTTTGTCATCCAAATAATTCTAGACAATTATTTGAAGATAAAATAAGTTTTTTTTTTAATTAAAAATA